TGATTAAAATATTAATTTAAAATTCAAATAATTCTCAAAATAATTGATAAACATTTGTTTAAAAATCAGCAGTCTACACAAACTTCTCTACTTTTCCTTACAAATAAGTTCTAGTTGCGAATCGATAAGCTTTATATAATTGTAATTAATATTAAGTTTTTTAATGTTTCAAACTCAATGCGAAAATTTAATGCAGCGTTTGGCTCAGTCGCCTTGGCCGAACTGAGTCTTGTTATCTTAAATGAAATGCGAATACAATAACAGACTAGACAAAAATAAAAAAGTAATAATAACGATAATAATAAATAAATAAATAATAAGAAGCAAAACAATTTACAAAGCGACACTCAAATTTGTTTCTCTCGTTTCTCCATTTAGCTGAGATTCGTGTCGAGTCGCCCTTCAGCCGATCACAAAAAGCTCTCCAACTGCTGCTGCTTCTACTTCTGCTGCTGTCATCATGTGCGCTCCCTCCTTCCTGCCTTCAGTGCACTGGCCGCTCCGGTTGAGTGCGATGCTCGCACACGCAAGGCAATAAAGTATCGAAATGTACGTTGAGAAGTAATTAAATTAAATTAAAGTCAAGTCGCAAGTTGCTTGAAACTTTTTTGTTTCTGCGATGACGCCTCAACTGGAATTTGTTGCTGCTGTGCTGCTCGAGTTTGATTTGCATGATGGGCAGCCGCAGTCGATGCCGCAGTTGACGTTGACATTTTTCGATGGCTCTGGCAATTTCCACTTTCCACCCGCAAAACCATCAGGCATTTCCACTGGCAGCAGCTGCTGCTGTGGAATGGCCTCCTCCCATTGCCAGGAGGCTGGGCAGAACCTCTGCTGGTCGATGCTGTCATTGCCTGAACTCTGGTCACTCATGTAAATTAGCTGCGTTGTCAAATAATGCTGATTTGTTGTTGGTTCGTTGGCAGACTAACAAAAGCAACCCATGCCAATGGTCATACTTAAACACGCCCCTTCCCCACAAGCTTGACAGACCAAATACTGCCCAGTGGCCATCGCTTGACGCATATCTCGATCCATCCCTTTGCCAGTTGGCAGTGTTCAACATGCAGCTTTTTGTTTAAAAATCAAATCAAATATTACGAGAAAATTTCAATGCGGTTAAATGCATAGCAAATTTTATCATCCACCCGCCCCTCTATCTGTTTCTCCCTCTATCCAAAGGGGCGAGCTGGGCGGATTGAGTTGCAGCCGCAACCGCAAAAACGCAAATGTTGTCTCGACACACGTCGGACTCGGAGCATTTGGGTTGTTCTCGGGTTGACAAATTTTGAGTGAACGTTTCATTCCAGCGTTTCACATCAAAGCATGCACAGAGGCACATAGGAAGGGAAAACCTTTTCAGTCGCTACGGCAATATCTTTAATATGTGAATTCGAATTAATTCATGTTTATTTATTTCATTGACTTATATCTTATATATGTATTAAACAATTTGATTGCAATTAAAATTCAATGTACAAAAATTAAGAAGGCTCTAGTATAGACTGCTCGAGTAGGAGATACCCTGAACCCTCCAGGGGTCGAAGGGGGCGTGGTATCCAAAATCTGTAAATTACTGTAAATTAAATTAATAATTCATCAAATGTATATGCACATATCTGAAGTTTGCAGGTCTAATAGTATTCAAGTTAGGCTACAAAAATCCAAATCGACTCAGCTCGTCGCCTTGATCGAGAATATATATACTTTGTGGGGTCTATCACGCCTCCTTCTGTCTGTTAAAACCACTATACCCTGATTTCCCATTAAAAATGGGTTCATGGTAGAAAAATCTCCAACTCAATTAGAAAGTAGAAGGGTTTCTCGTAAATATTATTATAAATTAGAAAGGTTTTTCGGGCTTTTATAGGCGTTTATATACATATCTGCAAGATAGACTTTATATATA